ACCATGTGAAAGAACTCGTCTGTTGTATTCACTTATAAAACCAAGAGTTAATCAATTTCCCATCTCATGTGTGAATACAATGTACAGTTGAAGCCCAGATATCGGTCGATTTCACACTGACTACATTACTGTGCACCCAGGCGAATTATGTTAGGCACAGAGAGATGTGTGGAATTGCTTTTCAGAGAGAAGTGTAATTATCCTTGCTACTATTCCACCTGTGATTTTAGTCCAAACACCAATCGATAATTATAATTTTGACAAATTAATAAAATCTCAAATAAGCACTGAAATAATATAATAAACAGGCACAGAGATATATATGGAAGCCAAATCATTCTTCGTGGTATTCTGTCTGCAACTGTAGTACAAACACAAATCTGTAATTATTATTTTGGCAGATACCTTCACCTCATACATAAAATGAAGCAAATGTAATAACGGAAGCATGTACTTTATATCTTAAGAACAATATGCAACAATATGAGTTTCATCTCTTTCTGTCTGAATAAATTCTGAATATGTTTTTAGAGGAAGAAATTGAGTCATATGATGTTTACGATTTAAGCAAAGAAATATAATGGCAGATACATAATTTCATTGTTGGTTGTTCCACCAGAAATAATGTTGTTTCCACTCATTTACATTTGGTATGTGTGTGTGTGTTGTACTACTGAGAAATTGAATGTAGGTAGTGAAGGAAGCCATAATCACAGCAACAGTATGCGCATCTACCTGTGGTACAATATGAAGGCGTAGTGTGAATGCACTGCATCCACAATGTGTTAACACTACTTTAATCGTATTATGACAATTTATGTATATGGCAATAATTACAGAAATAAACTGGATGATTAGACATAAAATGTAGTGGGATTACAAATATTGAGGGAATTGAATTTTGATGGCAAGGGTAGAGTTTAAAGTTGGACATATTTCTTTCGATGTAGAATGTGGGCTTGAAATTATGGATCGTTGCTATCTTAGCTATAACCTGCTGCCTCGGTCTCACTCCCTTTGTGGTGTTTTGTTCGGATAGTTTGTTCGATTATGGAGGACGTTTATAAAACATCTGGATGTCCAGGGTTCACCAGATGTTCTGTTATCGAACTGTGTACACGTCTGTGCTCTCTCTTCTCCAGTCAGGTTGGACAGGGTTCCCCAACGCGTTTTACAAGTGATCACATTTTGTGGTCATTATACTCAGCTGCAAACTCCAATTGAACCGGTGAATGCATGTTATTCTTGCTTGTTCCACTCCACATCCCTCTTTCTGACTCTCCTTCCATCTCTAGAACTGCGCTCATTTCAACTCATTTTCTTTCGTGATCTAAATCACCACCATCTTCTTTCCTCACCATGAAACCTATTGGAAAATATCTGTGATTAATTTAATTAGAGAGAGTGGTGCGCGTACTCTAAGAGCCATTAGTTCAGATACCTTACCAGTAAGTGTTGGAAATATATGATTTATTTCTCCTTATGTTCGAGGAAATCAGGACTTTATGCATCACACAGAGTCGTTCTTGATTTCTCCGGGACACTCCACACAAGATATCTTCCGAATGGATGGCGATGTTGAATACTTCTCTCATGTGAAACCGAATACTTGCATTCAGAAGTGACAAGTAGAATAGCTGATATTACGCTTAAACATATACTCCCAACAGGTGCTTATACTGGCGACCATCATTCCTACGGTTACATTACAGATGAGGAAGTCACCAAGGATGTCTGTTCGACTGCACGTAAGCGATGACCCACAATATGAAATAGCGGAAGAGGTGAATATGTGAATTTCCAATTACCATCACACCTGTGTGCATTTCGACTAATGATTGCAAGGGGAGCTGTTTTGAGGTGTGCCGCTCAACCTAATAGTTGAATGGTATTGTCTACTACTCAAAATTTTACGAGACATACTATGGAACCTGATGGATTCAACACGTTATCGATTGAGTAGTTCGAAGAATAAGATGAATCACTTTTATTTAAAGCTAAAATATGTATTGCATCTATGTCAGGTATCTATTTCTGACATAGCTTTTCTTTGATGTACACTGCTCGCGTTGATATTCTGAAATGAAAGTGTGAAATAACACAGAGGATTGTTGAAAATAGGCATAAAATGAACAGATTGAGTACTTAATACGGAACAAGAATATCTTGTCACTAGCAGGATAAAAACGAGTGAAAATGTATCTGAAAACTTCCGTTTCACTGAAACTATTTGGAGCGAGAATCTGTGCTACGATATAAAAAAGCGTTTTAAGGGATAATTACCTCTTTGTCAGGCACTGAAATCGCACACCAACTTAGTCAGTTTACAGCGAAATACATCACCAACGCTGCTGATTCTTGATATCAGAGAATATCAAATAATATTTATTTTTAGCCTGAGATGGAAACTCACACTGATATTTCCGAGTACTTCTTGTTTATAATATAGAATCTGACTTTCCAGAAAGACAGAACGGGAAGATGTTCATACTTTACGACGTATAACTGTCTTATTTCTCTACAAAGTGCGCTGAATAGTGCACACCTAGTTTCAATTATTGATCTTGCATTTGTCCCCTACAGGTTCGAAAATGTCTCCTCTCTCAGTTATTCTGATGCACGAGAAATGTTACTGTTAGTATTTAGTTCAGCCCACACACTCAATTAGAATACGTATGCATGCAGTATGATATGCGCCAACGTATATCCATGCATGCAAATTCATAGACACACTTCGGAGGTGAGTGTTTTTAGGTAATCACTTTGGCTATATTTGCGACTATCTGACTGAATCGAACACTAACTTAGATATTCACTGAGATCGTCCCCCTTTTTTATGGCATGAAACTGTTCAATTAAACCGATAATGAAAGCAAATATATCATATCACAACTAAACACGCTTTTTTCATACTTAAAAATGTAATTCTTGCCACATTTATGATAAAACCGTGGGTCGCCGAAAATCCACAAAATATCCTCTTCATATAATTTGGTCCCATCACTCAATTTTTATTTAATCATTTTAACACTAGAACACTAGTTCACTGAACAAATTTTGAATATCTGCCTCAGTGTGTGAGTTTCCACATGCCTAACACAATAAGTTATTTGTAAACTATTCTGTTGAGTTGTACGGAACTGGTTCAATGTTTAATTGATTCTATTTAGTAATGACAAGTCATGACAGTGATCGAGAATAGTAAGTGTAGACTGTCGACTGCACATCCATGGATACATTACGATTGTGAACTTCTTCTGCATCAATTATCCTCATATATTGAGTGATCAGTGTTGAATATGTGTTCACTTATAGTGCTCCTTATTGATTCACCACTGTCTTTTCGTAGCCAAGCGGTATGGTGTTTCTTGATCCTTTTGGATAAAACACGCATCGAGGAACCCATATTTCTCTCTCCACATGAGCAAGTTGATTGTTGGATACACAAAGAAGTGGTCAAATAAGATGGTTCATTTTTAGAGTTGTTGAAGAACAATGGGCGGCGGGAGAATATCAATCGTAATGTAGCGGCATCGAGTATTCTTCTTCAGAGTGTTAGATATTATTATCTTCAAGTTGGCGACCAGCTGGTCACCCCTGAATGGCACATTCATGTTTAGCATCTTCTTCGGCACAGAGATGTGTTGTTCTTTGTTGATTATCGGCTTTATGTGTTTACCCATCAAGTATGGTGGATAACCGTTTTCAAGTAGTGTCTCCCTCAAAATCGTGGCCTCCTCTTCCACTGATTCCAGGCTCCAGATACTACGGATTCTGATAACAAGAGTTATTATCAGGTTTCGTTTGCGATTGATGACTAGAAAACTGTAGACATTCGTCAGCTGAAAGTTCCACCCACGCTTTCGATATATTGATCTCTTTAGAGTCTCACCAAAATTCATTGTTAGTCGGACGTCCAGAAATGAGATCGTCTATCCAGTTTCTGCGTCAGTTATAATTTCCATGGCTGAGTGACAGGTATTCAAATCCCGCAGGACATTATTTAGGTCACATTTGTCGTCACAGATGATAAAATTGTCATCAACATACTTTTTGTACGAAGAGTTGTCGATTTTCGGTTTCAACGGACCACATTCCAATTTGCCTTGAAAATATTTGTGAGTAACGAACCTAAAGATGAATCGATAGCTATATACTCATGCTGACCCTATTATGTGCTTGTCGCCGAGTTTCACATATTTAATACAGTGAACCAGTTCAGAAACGATTTGCAAAACACCCTCTTCACTTTGTTCGGTAATTCATATGTATGACAGACAGACATACATTTCGCAGAGGATTAAGTATGTGTAATTTTCCGTACGGGTTTACATATACAGTTTCTCATAATTAATAAAAGGTGAGATGGAAACTTCGATCAGATTTTTCCTCCCTTCAAGGTCAAATAACTTGAATATATTCATATGGTAATCAATTCAGTATGAAGACCAAAGTAATAGCATAATAAATACAGTGTAGGTTCACCATGAGAACAACTATGTCTATGTAACTGTTATTACTTATCAGGATACAGCAAATGTCACACAACGATAAACGCAGTGATTACACACTGTGGATGCAGTGCATTCGCCTTACGCCTTGATATTGTACCAAACGTAGATGTGCATACTGGTGCTGTGATTAAGGCTCTCATCATCACCTATATTTGATTTTTCAGTAGTACAACCCTCACACATATCAAGTGTGGGTGAGTGGAAAAATCTAAATTTCTGGTAGAAACACCAACAATGAAATCAGAAGTCTATAATTATACGTCTCTGCCTTAGTTGTAAGCAACATATGACTAAAAATCTTTCTCTAAAAACATATTCAGAATTCATTTAGACTAAAATAGATGAAACTCATATTATTGCATACTGATCTCAAGATATATCCTGCATTTCTTAGTCATTTTGTTTACATGATTTTATGTGTGAGGTAACATAATTTGGCAGAATAGTAATTATCGATTGGTGTTTTAACTTCAATTACAAGTAGGATAGCAGGATAAAAATTACACTTCTTCCTGAAAAGTAATTCCACACATCTCTCTGTGCCTAACATAATTCGCCTGGGTGCACAGTAATGTAGTCAATGTGAAATCGACCGATATCTGGGCTTCAACTGTACATTGTATTCACACATGAGATGGGAAATTGATTAACTCTTGGTTTTATAAGTGAATACAACAGACGAGTTCTTTCACATGGTGGAATGAGATTTAGGACAGTGGGGTGTATGGAATGTAGTCTGTCAAGATAGTGAAGGGGCGCAACAATTATCTTGACACTAATATAAGAATAAAACTTGTGCACTGTGGTAGAGTATAATTCCATCATGGGTAAATTTTTGTTTTGATAAAGTCTCACAGTGTTATACAGTAATGTTTACTGATGGCGTTTTGAGCACAATTTATGATTATGAGCAAATCAAGTCATCTAACATTGAGGATTCCATGAGTTTAATACACAAAAACTGTCAGTCTTACACTCAATCCCCTCACATGTCGACTGATCGCACTGGCAAGCAAATGTGGATCAATATGATTCAGGTTATTAGGAAATTGTTCAGGAAATCCCCAACAGTTTAGAGTCGGCAGAGAAGACTTCAATCACACAGTCCAACGAAGGATGACACAGACTTATAATAATGTTAGTGAATAGACACTAGTTGGTGAAATTAGTAAAAAAATGTTTTTTTTTTAAAAACTCGTGTTTCCCGTTAATGTTGGCTTATCATTGATGATCAATTCGTGAGTTTTGATAACTTACTTTTTTACTTTTTCTTCTGATTACAGCTTGACTCCACACCGTATTTTTGTTACAAGTATGGAATTTTTAGCTTGTGATGTCCGTAGCCCAAATTTCGCAGGCCGACAATAGATATCAGCTGTGTGTCGGCAGGTGATCGAACCTCGGACCATGTGCATGGTCGGCGAGAGTCACAACCACTGTGACACCGACGCACATTACATCTAAATGCATGGACCACACCATCTGTTGATTTGCAGGATGCTGCATCAGAATGTCAGCGCACATCGCTAGCAAAAACTAGTAACAAAAACCAAATAGGAAAGCTGAATTGAAGAAAATGTAGGAACCAATAGCTTGATCTCGGGAAATAATTCATGCGAATTAACTCACAAACCAAAGAAATTTATGAATGATTTTCTTTCTGCACAGTGATATGCAGAGATATTCAGTCACAATTATGTTGTCTTTCAATTATTTGTGAGGCGTGCAACCCACTTAAAATTGGGCATGATAACGTATTCAGATGTTTACAATGAGATCTGACATCTTTGTGAAACAAAAGAATCTTGTCCAACTTGGCCTATGGGAGTTTCGAATCTCACAACAATACACCTTATCCATCCTACTGATCATTTGAGAAATTGACATGTCGCCTATCTGTTCTTTGATGAATTTCTTCTTCAATATGTTGCGTTATCTCCTTAAAACTACTATCCAAACGTCACATTCTTCATGTATCCCTGTTAAGTTTTCATGTTGTTGTCATGTTAGGTATGACATTTCGGTGTGCAAATCATCGGAAATGTTCCATATGCTTTTCAAAATTGATCTACAGTACCTAATATACAGTGATCGGAATTACCTAACACTCTTCTTGGTTGAGCTAGTTTTCTTTGATTACGGTGACCTTGTAAATGAAGAACAGTACAAAATTATTTATGTTTATAATGAAAATTATAATCACGCCACATTCCTTCAAAAAGACAAGGGGTGATATTTTGAAATATTTCTAGAAATCTTGAAGGTCTTACACGTGGCAAGTGTAAATTAGCTGAAATATTCTGTTGAATAGATTTGTGTTTAGTTTCTCTGACCATAACGGGAAGTAGAATTATTAAGCAGTGTGTACTACTCTTCATTGTTCAATGGAACAATCCACAATGAAATTATGTATCTGCCATTATATATTGCTTTGCTTGAATCGTAAACATCATATGACTCAATTTCTTCCTCTAAAAACATATTCAGAATTTATTCAGACAGAAAGAAATTTAACTCATATTGCTGCATATTGTTCTTAAGATATAAAGTACATGCTTCCGTTATTACATTTGCTTCATTTTATGTATGAGGTGAAGGTATCTGCCAAAATAATAATTACAGATTTGTGTTTGTACTACAGTTGCAGACAGAATACCACGAAGAATGATTTGGCTTCCACATATATCTCTGTGTCTGTTTATTATATTATTTCAGTGCTTATTTGAGATTTTATTAATTTGTCAAAATTATAATTATCGATTGGTGTTTGGACTAAAATCACAGGCGGAATAGTAGCAAGGATAATTACACTTCTCTCTGAAAAGCAATTCCACACATCTCTCTGTGCCTAACATAATTCGCCTGGGTGCACAGTAATGTAGTCAGTGTGAAATCGACCGATATCTGGGCTTCAACTGTACATTGTATTCACACATGAGATGGGAAATTGATTAACTCTTGGTTTTATAAGTGAATACAACAGACGAGTTCTTTCACATGGTGGAATGAGATTTAGGACAGTGGGGTGTATGGAATGTAGTCTGTCAAGATAGTGAAGGGGCGCAACAATTATCTTGACACTAATATAAGAATAAAACTTGTGCACTGTGGTAGAGTATAATTCCATCATGGGTAAATTTTTGTTTTGATAAAGTCTCACAGTGTTATACAGTAATGTTTACTGATGGCGTTTTGAGCACAATTTATGATTATGAGCAAATCAAGTCATCTAACATTGAGGATTCCATGAGTTTAATACACAAAAACTGTCAGTCTTACACTCAATCCCCTCACATGTCGACTGATCGCACTGGCAAGCAAATGTGGATCAATATGATTCAGGTTATTAGGAAAATGTTCAGGAAATCCACTGTTCTGTTGACCGAAATTCTGTTTCGCCAACTTATTGATACATACCATTATTTACCCAGTATCATGTCTCAATTATAAGTCAGGAATTCAAAGCTAATCAAGGTCTAAGCTTTTTCGCCATGTTTGCGTGTTTATCATTGGAAGCGAAATCTGAAGCCTTCTCATGCCTAGATATTCTATATCCATCGCATTCGCAGTTCATCTTGTCTGAATTATAATGTTATAATCATGTTAACCATCTCTGGGTTTAGTATTTATTGTTCATAATGTCTATCTTGGATACTACTTTATGACGAATGTCTATGTCAAAGTCTCTGAAGTCTCAAACCAATTTCGGAAAATAAATTTTATTTGAAAAATCGGTAGTATTTCCGAAGGAAGTGATACTTTGTTGTGTTTGATTTCCCCGCTTGTACTACTTTCTCCAAATTTGTGAGTAATGCATGCGTTACATTAATAATTAAGATGGTTTAATTTGATTCCGGTGAAAAAATTATTTATGCATATAATGAAAATTATAATCACGCCACATTCCATCAAAAAGAAATGGAGTGATAATTAAGAATATTTTTAGAAAACTTGAAGGTCTTATACGTGGCAAGTGCAAACTACCTGAAATCTATTGGTGAAAGGAGTATATAAATACTTGTTTTTATTTATTAAACAAATATTGTACGGAAGATGACGAAGAATACGTTATGCGTTCTGTTGTTCATTATTCAAGCGTTCACAATATTCTCCAAGCCAGGCGACGCAGGTAAGTACAAATTGATGTAACTGCCAAAACAAAAATATTGGTTTGATAGTAAATTTTTAAAACGCATTTAACATATTAAAACCAGTTTTCTCTCAGTAGATAAACAAACTTGAAATTTAGTTATCACTTAACAAAATGACAATCACGCCGAAGTTAAAATTCATTTATATAACGCATAATTTATCAGTGTTTCCGTCCATTAGTGAACGCTGACGACGGAGAGAATCTCTATGGTAAGTTCAACAATCTGATATCTATCGTCATCATGATCTTGTGCTGCCAAATCTGACTGTTTGAATTTCATAATTTACAAAGTGAATAAATAAGTGAACACGAGACGATTCATTTCTATTATTTACAGGAATGGAAAATATCTATTCAAGCGACTGCTATAAAGAAGGTAAGAAACATAAAAATATTCCCACTTTCACTCTTCTTCAAAAGTCTAAAGACAAAAGAGTGATATCAGAGAGTGTAAATGCTGAGTGCTTTTCGTGAAATCTGACCTGTGATAATTAGTTGGGCAATGTGTGTGAGACGAGTGTCAGATGCTCGTGTGTGTGTGTGTGTTTGCGTGTGTGGGTGAAACTAGTGACGTGAGGAGGAAATTGCAAATGGAAATGATTGTGAGAATTATGGATACGACACAGGCTATTACTTCAATTTAAAAGCTAACTTCAAATTGAAGTATGCAATGAAGATGTCACCGAGAAAAGTGATGAAAGTTTCGCAAACAAACCATCCACCTCGGAGAAAAAACCACATCAAAACCATCAACCTGAGTTACAAATATTCTCTAACATATAAATACAACACAGGCACACATGGAACTCAAAATGAGAGCATATGTGTGCTGTGGATTCGGGTGGACATCCAGGCCATGTGAAAGGAAGACAGTTCATGTGTATTGCAGAAGCACGAGCAGGAAGCATAGACGGTTTTGTGTGTTCCACATTGCTGTGAGAGACTGTGACAAATCTAGCAGTCACTGTGGAAGTCATATTCTGACTCTGGTGCCATTTGTGATACTGTGTATATGTAACCTCATTCATTTCAGTGATGAAAAATATTGTTGAGGAAGAAACAACACAAGGTGAGATTTGTGAGTACGTGAACATATTCGACTTGACGTGAGACAACACCCTTGTCACTCTAATTCACGCTCAGTCAGATTATCTTGATGATCTGCGGAGTGCATATTTGAAGTTTATCGCGTCAGTGGTGTGACAACTGATGAGACGTCTGCTCTACTTCTCTTCTGATAGATGTGCCAGCCATCAAAACTCCAGCAAGAGAAGAAGTCAAAGAAGAAACAACAACGCGTAAGACCTTTCAATTACTCATTGACACTGCTTAAATTAAATTTCTACCATGCAGAACCACTTCGTGTCACATTTCATTCTCCATCCGAAGTGTGTTCAGATTCGTGCAGTCAGGTTCAATTCGATGGGGCTACACGAATGGATTGTGTAAAAGACGTTTCAGCCAGTCGAAATAATGCAGACGAAGTTGTTGGCGGAGACTGAGTGCCTCTCACTGCCTCTCACATATTCTCGACACCAATGTCAACGTGTCTCCTTCCACGTGCACATTTGCATCGGAACAACATTGTCACAGATGTCGGATATTCACTCCTCACCACTCCACATTTGTCGATTTCGTCACCCGCTCATTGAGTGAGAGGCGCGGGTAGCATCTCCATATTCACGGCCACTTCTCACATGAAATTCACTCTGGGTCTTTGTTGTGTAGTTCTCATGGGCTTCATATTGTCGTGACCACCACACTGTGTCAAGCTCCCCTATCAAGTGTGGCTACATATTTCGTAGTGTGCATAGCGATTCCACAAAGATTTCGTCAGTTTCTGAGCTGATGCACACTGTGCTTGTCCGAGTCATTTCGTGGAAGGGATACTCTCTGAGCCGTTAACGGAACAATTGAACTCTCAGTAGATTGGAATGCAGGCGATTTGTGTAAGCCAATACGTTGGAGACTAGAATTCGAATACACCAACCACTGAGTGTGAACAGGGACCTGGGTTGCATCGCTCAGTCTGAATACTGTCAGACACGGTTGTGATCACAGCTTAATTGTCGTGTGCGTCTCCACTCGAACGTCTCGTCCTGCATATTTTCTAACCGATTCGCACGTATCCTTGTTTTCGTCGACTAGTGAACGTCGACGAGGAAGTCAAGCCCTTTGGTAATTTTCAACTATTTGATTTCCATAGTCGTCGTGATCTAGTTTTGTTATTTCTTCATTTCAAATTTTTATGAAAGAAGTTGTTTGTTGCATACGTTACAGGCCACCATTCGATATTTTACTATTTCAGTCATCAAATTCGTTCCGAATAAGTGCTTTAACATAGGTAAGAAACACTCAATGGTTTCCACATTTTATTATATCCATAATCCATATAACAAGGATTCGTATCAGCGATCATAAATGCTGAATGTCTCTCGTGAAATCTCAAAAGGAATTATAAGTTGGTCAATATGTGTTAGGAGAGAAAGAGACGCACGAATGTGTAAGAAAGAATAGGACGAGAGGCTGAAAATACGAATCGGAATGTGTGTGAGCATCATGGATAACACACAGGCTCACATGGAACTTAAAATGAGAGAATAAGTGTGTTGTGGATTCAGATGGATATCCAGGCCATGTGAAAGGAAGACAGTTCATGTGTATTGCAGAAGCACGAGCAGGAAGCATAGATGGTATTGTGTGTTCCACATTGCTGTGAGAGACTGTGACAAATCTAGCAGTCATTGTGGAAGGCATACTCCGACTCAAGTGAAATTAGATACATTTGATATTTTCCACAACATTCATTTCAGCATCGAAATATATAAATGACAAAATAGAAGTACAGGGTGAGTTTTATGATTACGTGAATATATTCGACTTGACGTGAGATGACACCCTTGTCTCTCTAATTCACGTTCAGTCAGATTATCTTGATGATCTGCGAAGTTCATATTTGAAGTTTATCGCGTCAGTGGTGTGACAACTGATGAGGCATCTGATCTACATCTTTTCAAACAGATATGCAAACACCCAAAACTCCAGCAACAGAAGAAGTCAAAGAAGAAACAACAACGCGTAAGACCTTTCAATTACTCATTGACACTGCTTAAATTACATTTCTACCATGCAGAACCACTTCGTGTCACACTTCATTCTCCATCCGAAGTGTGTTCAGATTCGTGCAGTTAGGCTGAATTCCACGGGGCTACAGGAATGGATTGTGTGAAGGCCTTTCGAGCCATTCGGAACAATGCAGAGCATGAGATACCTGTTTCACTTCCCTTCTTTAAAAGTCGACAGTCACCATCTACACGAAATTGTAGGCAGAGACTGAGTGCCTCTCACTGCATTTCACATATTCTCGACACCAATGTCAACGCGTCTCCTTCCACGTGCTCATTTGCATCGGAACAAAATTGTCACAGATGTCGGATATTCACTCCTCACCACTCCACATTTGTCGATTTCGTCACCCGCTCATTGAGTGAGAGGCGCGGGTAGCATCTCCATATTCACGGCCACTTCTCACATTAAATTCACTCTGGGTCTATGTTGTGTAGTTATCACGGTCTTCATATCACCGTGACCATCACACTGTGTCAAGCTCCCCTATCAAGTGTGGCTACACATTTCGTAGTGTGCATAGCGATTCCACAAAGATTTCGTGAGTTTCTGAGCTGATGCACACTTTGCTTGTCCGAATCAATTCATGGAAGGGATACTCTCTGAGCCGTTAACGGAACAATTGAACTCTCAGTAGATTGGAATTCAGGAGATTTGTGTAAGCCAATACGTTGGAGACTGAAATTCGAATTCACCAACCACTCGGTGTGAACAGGGACCAGGGTTGCATCGCTCAAGCTGCATTCCGTTTTGACCACTGGCTTAATGTCGTGTTCCTGTCTGCTCAAACTTTACGTCCTGCATAATGTCTAACTAGCTCTCACCTATATTTTATTTTTTTCATTAGTGAACATCGATGAGGGCGAGACGCTCTTTGGTGAGACTTATAATCTGAAATCTATCGTTGGCATGATTTTGTGCTGTGAATTCTGCATGATATACATATATGTTTATTAGTGAGAAGAGAGAACTCTGACACCCAACGATTGAATTTTCTTTTTTCAGGGGTGAAGAATATTTACCACAGCAGCTGCTTCACTAAAGGTGAGGAGAAAAAAATTGTCCACTCCTAAATTTTAAGTTACCTCTGAAGGCAAATGTCCGATAACAGAAATGAGAAATGATAAGTGGTATCGTGAAAACTTATCTGTAATAATTAGTTGGGCAATGTGTGTGAGACCAGTGTCAGATGCTCGTGTGTGTATATGTGTGTGTGTGTCTCTGTGTGGAGCAGACTAGTGACGTGAGGCGGAAAATGCGAATCGAAATGTGTGTGAGCATCATGGATAACACACAGGCTCACATGGAACTCAAAATGAGAGCATATGTGTGTTGTGGATTCAGATGGATATCCAGGCCATGTGAAAGGAAGACAGTTCATGTGTATTGCAGAAGCACGAGCAGGAAGCATAGACGGTTTTGTGTGTTCCACATTGCTGTGAGAGACTGTGACAAATCTAGCAGTCACTGTGGAAGTCATAATCCGACTCTGGTGCCATTTGTGATACTGTGTATATGTAACCTCATTCATTTCTGTGATGAAAAATATTGTTGAAGAATAAACAACACAAAGTGAGTTTTGTGAGTACGTGAATATATATTCGACTTGACATGAGACAACACCCTTGTCTCTCTAATTCACGTTCAGTCAGATTATCTTGATGATCTGCGGAGTGCATATTTGAAGTTTATCGCGTCAGTGGTGTGACAACTGATGAGACGTCTGCTCTACTTCTCTTCTGATAGATGTGCCAGCCACCACAACTCCAGCAAGAGAAGAAGTCAAAGAAGAAACAACAACGCGTAAGACCTTTCAATTACTCATTGACACTGCTTAAATTAAATTTCTACCATGCAGAACCACTTCGTGTCACACTTCATTCTCCATCCGAGGTGTGTTCAGATTCGTGCAGTCAGGTTCAATTCGATGGGGCTACACGAATGGATTGTGTAAAAGACGTTTCAGCCAGTCGAAATAATGCAGACGAAGTTGTTGGCGGAGACTGAGTGCCTCTCACTGCCTCTCACATATTCTCGACACCAATGTCAACGCGTCTCCTTCCACGTGCACATTTGCATCGGAACAACATTGTCACAGATGTCAGATATTCACTCCTCACCACTCCACATTTGTCGATTTCGTCACCCGCTCATTGAGTGAGAGGTGCAGGTGGCATCTCCATATTCACGGCCACTTCTCACATGAAAGTCACTCTGGGTCTTTGTTGTGTAGTTCTCATGGGCTTCATATTGTCGTGACCACCACACTGTGTCAAGCTCCCCTATCAAGTGTGGCTATAAATTTCGTGGTGTGCATAGCGATTCCACAAAGATTTCGTCAGTTTCTGAGCTGATGCACACTTTGCTTGTCTGAATCTTTTCGTGGAACGGATACTCTCTGAGCCGTTAACGGAACAATTGAACTCTCAGTAGACTGGAATGCAGGCGATTTGTGGAAGTCGATACGGTGAAGACTGGAATTCAAGTGCAACAACCACTCGGTGTGAACAGAGACCAGCGTTGCATCACTCAGTCTGCATACTGTCAGACATGGTTGTGATCACTGATTAACTGTCGTGTTCGTCTCCACTCAAACGTCACGTCCCGTATATTTTCTAACCAATTCACACCTATTTTTGGTTTCTTCCACTAGTGAACGTCGATGAGGAAGAGGTGATCTTTGGTGAGCCTTACAATCTGAAATTTATCGTATTCGAGATTTTGTGACGTGAATTCTGCATGTCATACATCTATAAAAATACAATGAATAGCGTATTCTAACACTCGAGGATTGGTTTCTCTTATTTTCAGGGGTGAAGAACATTTATCCTAGCAAGTGCTATAATAAAGGTGAGAAGGAAGAAATCTTTCCCACTGTTCACCTTTACCCATAGTCTGAAGGCAAATGTGCGATATCAGTGAGCGGAAATGCTGAGTGCTTTTCGTGAAATCTGACCTGTGATAATTAGTTGGACAATATGTGTGAGGAGAAAGTCAGGTGCTTGTGTGTGGAGCAGACTAGTGACGTGAGGCGGAAAATGCGAATCGAAATGTGTGTGAGCATCATGGATAACACACAGGCTCACATGGAACTCAAAATGAGAGCATATGTGTGTTGTGGATTCAGATGGATATCCAGGCCATGTGAAAGGAAGACAGTTCATGTGTATTGCAGAAGCACGAGCAGGAAGCATAGACGGTTTTGTGTGTTCCACATTGCTGTGAGAGACTGTGACAAATCTAGCAGTCACTGTGGAAGTCATAATCCGACTCTGGTGCCATTTGTGATACTGTGTATATGTAACCTCATTCATTTCTGTGATGAAAAATATTGTTGAAGAATAAACAACACAAAGTGAGTTTTGTGAGTACGTGAATATATATTCGACTTGACATGAGACAACACCCTTGTCTCTCTAATTCACGTTCAGTCAGATTATCTTGATGATCTGCGGAGTGCATATTTGAAGTTTATCGCGTCAGTGGTGTGACAACTGATGAGACGTCTGCCCTACTTCTCTTCTGATAGATGTGCCAGCCACCACAACTCCAGCAAGAGAAGAAGTCAAAGAAGAAACAACAACGCGTAAGACCTTTCAATTACTCATTGACACTGCTTAAATTAAATTTCTACCATGCAGAACCACTTCGTGTCACACTTCATTCTCCATCCGAGGTGTGTTCAGATTCGTGCAGTCAGGTTCAATTCGATGGGGCTACACGAATGGATTGTGTAAAAGACGTTTCAGCCAGTCGAAATAATGCAGACGAAGTTGTTGGCGGAGACTGAGTGCCTCTCACTGCCTCTCACATATTCTCGACACCAATGTCAACGCGTCTCCTTCCACGTGCACATTTGCATCGGAACAACATTGTCACAGATGTCGGATATTCACTCCTCACCACTCCACATTTGTCGATTTCGTCACCCGCTCATTGAGTGAGAGGTGCAGGTGGCATCTCCATATTCACGGCCACTTCTCACATTAAATTCACTCTGGGTCTTTGTTGTGTAGTTCTCATGGGCTTCATATTGTCGTGACCACCACACTGTGTCAAGCTCCCCTATCAAGTGTGGCTATAAATTTCGTGGTGTGCATAGCGATTCCACAAAGATTTCGTCAGTTTCTGAGCTGATGCACACTTTGCTTGTCTGAATCTTTTCGTGGAACGGATACTCTCTGAGCCGTTAACGGAACAATTGAACTCTCAGTAGATTGGAATTCAGGAGATTTGTGTAAGCCAATACGTTGGAGACTGAAATTCGAATTCACCAACCACTCGGTGTGAACAGGGACCAGGGTTGCATCGCTCAAGCTGCATTCCGTTTTGACCACTGGCTTAATGTCGTGTTCCTGTCTGCTCAAACTTTACGTCCTGCATAATGTCTAACTAGCTCTCACCTATATTTTATTTTTTTCATTAGTGAACATCGATGAGGGCGAGACGCTCTTTGGTGAGACTTATAATCTGAAATCTATCGTTGGCATGATTTTGTGCTGTGAATTCTGCATGATATACATATATGTTTATTAGTGAGAAGAGAGAACTCTGACACCCAACGATTGAATTTTCTTTTTTCAGGGGTGAAGAATATTTACCACAGCAGCTGCTTCACTAAAGGTGAGGAGAAAAAAATTGTCCACTCCTAAATTTTAAGTTACCTCTGAAGGCAAATGTCCGATTACAGAAATGGGAAATGATAAGTGATATCGTGAAAACTTATCTGTAATAATTAGTTGGGCAATGTGTGTGAGACCAGTGTCAGATGCTCGTGTGTGTATATGTGTGTGTGTGTCTCTGTGTGGAGCAGACTAGTGACGTGAGGCGGAAAATGCGAATCGAAATGTGTGTGAGCATCATGGATAACACACAGGCTCACATGGAACTCAAAATGAGAGCATATGTGTGTTGTGGATTCAGATGGATATCCAGGCCATGTGAAAGGAAGACAGTTCATGTGTATTGCAGAAGCACGAGCAGGAAGCATAGACGGTTTTGTGTGTTCCACATTGCTGTGAGAGACTGTGACAAATCTAGCAGTCACTGTGGAAGTCATAATCCGACTCTGGTGCCATTTGTGATACTGTGTATATGTAACCTCATTCATTTCTGTGATGAAAAATATTGTTGAAGAATAAACAACACAAAGTGAGTTTTGTGAGTACGTGAATATATATTCGACTTGACATGAGACAACACCCTTGTCTCTCTAATTCACGTTCAGTCAGATTATCTTGATGATCTGCGGAGTGCATATTTGAAGTTTATCGCGTCAGTGGTGTGACAACTGATGAGACGTCTGCTCTACTTCTCTTCTGATAGATGTGCCAGCCATCAAAACTCCAGCAAGAGAAGAAGTCAAAGAAGAAACAACAACGCGTAAGACCTTTCAATTACTCATTGACACTGCTTAAATTAAATTTCTACCATGCAGAACCACTTCGTGTCACACTTCATTCTCCATCCGAGGTGTGTTCAGATTCGTGCAGTCAGGTTCAATTCGATGGGGCTACACGAATGGATTGTGTAAAAGACGTTTCAGCCAGTCGAAATAATGCAGACGAAGTTGTTGGCGGAGACTGAGTGCCTCTCACTGCCTCTCACATATTCTCGACACCAATGTCAACGCGTCTCCTTCCACGTGCACATTTGCATCGGAACAACATTGTCACAGATGTCAGATATTCACTCCTCACCACTCCACATTTGTCGATTTCGTCACCCGCTCATTGAGTGAGAGGTGCAGGTGGCATCTCCATATTCACGGCCACTTCTCACATGAAAGTCACTCTGGGTCTTTGTTGTGTAGTTCTCATGGGCTTCATATTGTCGTGACCACCACACTGTGTCAAGCTCCCCTATCAAGTGTGGCTATAAATTTCGTGGTGTGCATAGCGATTCCACAAAGATTTAGTCGGTTTCTGAGCTGATGCACACTTTGCTTGTCTGAATCTTTTCGTGGAAGGGACACACGCTGCGCCGTTAACGGGACACCTGAACTCTCAGTAGACTGGAATGCAGGCGATTTGTGGAAGTCGATACGGTGAAGACTGGAATTCAAGTGCAACAACCACTCGGTGTGAGCAGAGACCAGCGTTGCATCACTCAGTCTGCATACTGTCAGACATGGTTGTGATCACTGATTAACTGTCGTGTTCGTCTCCACTCAAACGTCACGTCCCGTATATTTTCTAACCAATTCACACCTATTTTTGGTTTCTTCCACTAGTGAACGTCGATGAGGAAGAGGTGATCTTTGGTGAGCCTTACAATCTGAAATTTATCGTATTCGAGATTTTGTGACGTGAATTCTGCATGTCATACATCTATAAAAATACAATGAATAGCGTATTCTAACACTCGAGGATTGGTTTCTCTTATTTTCAGGGGTGAAGAACATTTATCCTAGCAAGTGCTATAATAAAGGTGAGAAGGAAGAAATCTTTCCCACTGTTCACCTTTACCCATAGTCTGAAGGCAAATGTGCGATATCAGTGAGCGGAAATGCTGAGTGCTTTTCGTGAAATCTGACCTGTGATAATTAGTTGGACAATATGTGTGAGGAGAAAGTCAGGTGCTTGTGTGTGGAGCAGACTAGTGACGTGAGGCGGAAAATGCGAATCGAAATGTGTGTGAGCATCATGGATAACACACAGGCTCACATGGAACTCAAAATGAGAGCATATGTGTGTTGTGGATTCAGATGGATATCCAGGCCATGTGAAAGGAAGACAGTTCATGTGTATTGCAGAAGCACGAGCAGGAAGCATAGACGGTTTTGTGTGTTCCACATTGCTGTGAGAGACTGTGACAAATCTAGCAGTCACTGTGGAAGTCATAATCCGACTCTGGTGCCATTTGTGATACTGTGTATATGTAACCTCATTCATTTCTGTGATGAAAAATATTGTTGAAGAATAAACAACACAAAGTGAGTTTTGTGAGTACGTGAATATATATTCGACTTGACATGAGACAACACCCTTGTCTCTCTAATTCACGTTCAGTCAGATTATCTTGATGATCTGCGGAGTGCATATTTGAAGTTTATCGCGTCAGTGGTGTGACAACTGATGAGACGTCTGCTCTACTTCTCTTCTGATAGATGTGCCAGCCATCAAAACTCCAGCAAGAGAAGAAGTCAAAGAAGAAACAACAACGCGTAAGACCTTTCAATTACTCATTGACACTGCTTAAATTAAATTTCTACCATGCAGAACCACTTCGTGTCACACTTCATTCTCCATCCGAGGTGTGTTCAGATTCGTGCAGTCAGGTTCAATTCGATGGGGCTACACGAATGGATTGTGTAAAAGACGTTTCAGCCAGTCGAAATAATGCAGACGAAGTTGTTGGCGGAGACTGAGTGCCTCTCACTGCCTCTCACATATTCTCGACACCAATGTCAACGCGTCTCCTTCCACGTGCACATTTGCATCGGAACAACATTGTCACAGATGTCAGATATTCACTCCTCACCACTCCACATTTGTCGATTTCGTCACCCGCTCATTGAGTGAGAGGTGCAGGTGGCATCTCCATATTCACGGCCACTTCTCACATGAAAGTCACTCTGGGTCTTTGTTGTGTAGTTCTCATGGGCTTCATATTGTCGTGACCACCACACTGTGTCAAGCTCCCCTATCAAGTGTGGCTATAAATTTCGTGGTGTGCATAGCGATTCCACAAAGATTTAGTCGGTTTCTGAGCTGATGCACACTTTGCTTGTCTGAATCTTTTCGTGGAAGGGACACACGCTGCGCCGTTAACGGGACACCTGAACTCTCAGTAGACTGGAATGCAGGCGATTTGTGGAAGTCGATACGGTGAAGACTGGAATTCAAGTGCAACAACCACTCGGTGTGAGCAGAGACCAGCGTTGCATCACTCAGTCTGCATACTGTCAGACATGGTTGTGATCACTGATTAACTGTCGTGTTCGTCTCCACTCAAACGTCACGTCCCGTATATTTTCTAACCAATTCACACCTATTTTTGGTTTCTTCCACTAGTGAACGTCGATGAGGAAGAGGTGATCTTTGGTGAGCCTTACAATCTGAAATTTATCGTATTCGAGATTTTGTGACGTGAATTCTGCATGTCATACATCTATAAAAATACAATGAATAGCGTATTCTAACACTCGAGGATTGGTTTCTCTTATTTTCAGGGGTGAAGAACATTTATCCTAGCAAGTGCTATAATAAAGGTGAGAAGGAAGAAATCTTTCCCACTGTTCACCTTTACCCATAGTCTGAAGGCAAATGTGCGATATCAGTGAGCGGAAATGCTGAGTGCTTTTCGTGAAATCTGACCTGTGATAATTAGTTGGACAATATGTGTGAGGAGAAAGTCAGGTGCTTGTGTGTGGAGCAGACTAGTGACGTGAGGCGGAAAATGCGAATCGAAATGTGTGTGAGCATCATGGATAACACACAGGCTCACATGGAACTCAAAATGAGAGCATATGTGTGTTGTGGATTCAGATGGATATCCAGGCCATGTGAAAGGAAGACAGTTCATGTGTATTGCAGAAGCACGAGCAGGAAGCATAGACGGTTTTGTGTGTTCCACATTGCTGTGAGAGACTGTGACAAATCTAGCAGTCACTGTGGAAGTCATAATCCGACTCTGGTGCCATTTGTGATACTGTGTATATGTAACCTCATTCATTTCTGTGATGAAAAATATTGTTGAAGAATAAACAACACAAAGTGAGTTTTATGAGTACGTGAATATATATTCGACTTGACATGAGACAACACCCTTGTCTCTCTAATTCACGTTCAGTCAGATTATCTTGATGATCTGCGGAGTGCATATTTGAAGTTTATCGCGTCAGTGGTGTGACAACTGATGAGACGTCTGCTCTACTTCTCTTCTGATAGATGTGCCAGCCATCAAAACTCCAGCAAGAGAAGAAGTCAAAGAAGAAACAACAACGCGTAAGACCTTTCAATTACTCATTGACACTGCTTAAATTAAATTTCTACCATGCAGAACCACTTCGTGTCACACTTCATTCTCCATCCGAGGTGTGTTCAGATTCGTGCAGTCAGGTTCAATTCGATGGGGCTACACGAATGGATTGTGTAAAAGACGTTTCAGCCAGTCGAAATAATGCAGACGAAGTTGTTGGCGGAGACTGAGTGCCTCTCACTGCCTCTCACATATTCTCGACACCAATGTCAACGCGTCTCCTTCCACGTGCACATTTGCATCGGAACAACATTGTCACAGATGTCAGATATTCACTCCTCACCACTCCACATTTGTCGATTTCGTCACCCGCTCATTGAGTGAGAGGTGCAGGTGGCATCTCCATATTCACGGCCACTTCTCACATGAAAGTCACTCTGGGTCTTTGTTGTGTAGTTCTCATGGGCTTCATATTGTCGTGACCACCACACTGTGTCAAGCTCCCCTATCAAGTGTGGCTATAAATTTCGTGGTGTGCATAGCGATTCCACAAAGATTTAGTCGGTTTCTGAGCTGATGCACACTTTGCTTGTCTGAATCTTTTCGTGGAAGGGACACACGCTGCGCCGTTAACGGGACACCTGAACTCTCAGTAGACTGGAATGCAGGCGATTTGTGGAAGTCGATACGGTGAAGACTGGAATTCAAGTGCAACAACCACTCGGTGTGAGCAGAGACCAGCGTTGCATCACTCAGTCTGCATACTGTCAGACATGGTTGTGATCACTGATTAACTGTCGTGTTCGTCTCCACTCAAACGTCACGTCCCGTATATTTTCTAACCAATTCACACCTATTTTTGGTTTCTTCCACTAGTGAACGTCGATGAGGAAGAGGTGATCTTTGGTGAGCCTTACAATCTGAAATTTATCGTATTCGAGATTTTGTGACGTGAATTCTGCATGTCATACATCTATAAAAATACAATGAATAGCGTATTCTAACACTCGAGGATTGGTTTCTCTTATTTTCAGGGGTGAAGAACATTTATCCTAGCAAGTGCTATAATAAAGGTGAGAAGGAAGAAATCTTTCCCACTGTTCACCTTTACCCATAGTCTGAAGGCAAATGTGCGATATCAGTGAGCGGAAATGCTGAGTGCTTTTCGTGAAATCTGACCTGTGATAATTAGTTGGACAATATGTGTGAGGAGAAAGTCAGGTGCTTGTGTGTGGAGCAGACTAGTGACGTGAGGCGGAAAATGCGAATCGAAATGTGTGTGAGCATCATGGATAACACACAGGCTCACATGGAACTCAAAATGAGAGCATATGTGTGTTGTGGATTCAGATGGATATCCAGGCCATGTGAAAGGAAGACAGTTCATGTGTATTGCAGAAGCACGAGCAGGAAGCATAGACGGTTTTGTGTGTTCCACATTGCTGTGAGAGACTGTGACAAATCTAGCAGTCACTGTGGAAGTCATAATCCGACTCTGGTGCCATTTGTGATACTGTGTATATGTAACCTCATTCATTTCTGTGATGAAAAATATTGTTGAAGAATAAACAACACAAAGTGAGTTTTGTGAGTACGTGAATATATATTCGACTTGACATGAGACAACACCCTTGTCTCTCTAATTCACGTTCAGTCAGATTATCTTGATGATCTGCGGAGTGCATATTTGAAGTTTATCGCGTCAGTGGTGTGACAACTGATGAGACGTCTGCCCTACTTCTCTTCTGATAGATGTGCCAGCCACCACAACTCCAGCAAGAGAAGAAGTCAAAGAAGAAACAACAACGCGTAAGACCTTTCAATTACTCATTGACACTGCTTAAATTAAATTTCTACCATGCAGAACCACTTCGTGTCACACTTCATTCTCCATCCGAGGTGTGTTCAGATTCGTGCAGTCAGGTTCAATTCGATGGGGCTACACGAATGGATTGTGTAAAAGACGTTTCAGCCAGTCGAAATAATGCAGACGAAGTTGTTGGCGGAGACTGAGTGCCTCTCACTGCCTCTCACATATTCTCGACACCAATGTCAACGCGTCTCCTTCCACGTGCACATTTGCATCGGAACAACATTGTCACAGATGTCAGATATTCACTCCTCACCACTCCACATTTGTCGATTTCGTCACCCGCTCATTGAGTGAGAGGTGCAGGTGGCATCTCCATATTCACGGCCACTTCTCACATGAAAGTCACTCTGGGTCTTTGTTGTGTAGTTCTCATGGGCTTCATATTGTCGTGACCACCACACTGTGTCAAGCTCCCCTATCAAGTGTGGCTATAAATTTCGTGGTGTGCATAGCGATTCCACAAAGATTTAGTCGGTTTCTGAGCTGATGCACACTTTGCTTGTCTGAATCTTTTCGTGGAACGGATACTCTCTGAGCCGTTAACGGAACAATTGAACTCTCAGTAGATTGGAATTCAGGAGATTTGTGTAAGCCAATACGTTGGAGACTGAAATTCGAATTCACCAACCACTCGGTGTGAACAGGGACCAGGGTTGCATCGCTCAAGCTGCATTCCGTTTTGACCACTGGCTTAATGTCGTGTTCCTGTCTGCTCAAACTTTACGTCCTGCATAATGTCTAACTAGCTCTCACCTATATTTTATTTTTTTCATTAGTGAACATCGATGAGGGCGAGACGCTCTTTGGTGAGACTTATAATCTGAAATCTATCGTTGGCATGATTTTGTGCTGTGAATTCTGCATGATATACATATATGTTTATTAGTGAGAAGAGAGAACTCTGACACCCAACGATTGAATTTTCTTTTTTCAGGGGTGAAGAATATTTACCACAGCAGCTGCTTCACTAAAGGTGAGGAGAAAAAAATTGTCCACTCCTAAATTTTAAGTTACCTCTGAAGGCAAATGTCCGATTACAGAAATGGGAAATGATAAGTGATATCGTGAAAACTTATCTGTAATAATTAGTTGGGCAATGTGTGTGAGACCAGTGTCAGATGCTCGTGTGTGTATATGTGTGTGTGTGTCTCTGTGTGGAGCAGACTAGTGACGTGAGGCGGAAAATGCGAATCGAAATGTGTGTGAGCATCATGGATAACACACAGGCTCACATGGAACTCAAAATGAGAGCATATGTGTGTTGTGGATTCAGATGGATATCCAGGCCATGTGAAAGGAAGACAGTTCATGTGTATTGCAGAAGCACGAGCAGGAAGCATAGACGGTTTTGTGTGTTCCACATTGCTGTGAGAGACTGTGACAAATCTAGCAGTCACTGTGGAAGTCATAATCCGACTCTGGTGCCATTTGTGATACTGTGTATATGTAACCTCATTCATTTCTGTGATGAAAAATATTGTTGAAGAATAAACAACACAAAGTGAGTTTTGTGAGTACGTGAATATATATTCGACTTGACGTGAGGTGACACTCTTGTCTCTCTAATTCCCATTCCGTCAGATTTTGTTGATTATCTGAGAATTGCATGTATGTTTTTTCTTTAGGAGTCTGCCTAATTTCGGGTCAAAAACTTGAATTTATATATCTTTGGGTTTTATTGTTTACTAATTTTTTTGGCGTTTTCAGATGTGAATATTTTGTATCTACGTCAACTTTTTTTCATAGTCATGGGATAGTTTTATTTTTTTCCTATTTTCGGTCTATCCTTCCCAATTAGTTTGAAATATATAATCGTATCTTTTGTGGTATTTTTACTTCTCGGTGCAATTTTAATTTTTTCATGAAATATATTATACGTTTTTACTATTTTTTTTATTTTATTATCTTGTCATGCAAATTTTAATTGTTTTTTCTTTGTGATATTTCGCTGACGTTTTCTTAATCTTTTTCTTTTTTTCAGCTGAAGTTTAGAAATGTCTCTTGCCCATTTTCGCCTTCAAAATGTCGTTCTCCCATTGTTTTTCACCGTGTTGAATGAGAACTTCACTCTTTTGTATCATTACGCAAAAACTTTATGAGCATATTTCCCATTTAACTTTAAATATGTAATGTCAATTTCTATAATTTCGAATTTTATTATTTATGTCACAGCTAATTAATAAATAAAAATGTTGCACAATTAATCTTTTTATTTCATCTTCTTGCACCTGTCTTTCTGTCACTGAACGGTATCTGCCGAAAGTCCCTTTTTACAAATCGATTTTCACACTGAATATTTCCCACGTGTTACCAGTAGTCAATCCGTCAAACGATTTTATGTAGACAGCACAGGGTGCATTCTAACTGGGATCCTCTGTGTTGACTCGGTAATTGACACAAACTGTTGACTAGACAGAGCATTTTTGATTCCAAACAGCAGATATATATCTGCAATTAACAAATATTTCCGTCATTATTTGATGAAGGATATTCTCATTTTCGACAGTCTCTTTGCATCCGCAGATAACGAGTCTAAAATCTTTGACTTGAGTTTTTCGTAAAATTTTTGAATAAGAAGACAATCTTGAGTTCGAGTTTGTAGGGAGTTTACCCATTTGATTCGGTCAACGTTTACAGAAAACTAAAAGTAAGAAAGATAATACCTCACTCTATGCAAGTACCTGCTGAGCATCGAGATTCAAAAGCGAACACAAGAAAAACGTCATTTGAAGCGTTGAAATTCATCAGAACATGTCACTTTTGATGCCAGAACGTTCCCAGTCTTGTTACATCAAGAAAATGGTTTCAATCTAGCTTTAGTACAATAATGTTATGCAGAAAATATCGATAATTTGCATCCTTTATCAACAGAATCATCCATCATCGTCTTCAAAAGACACGAAGTACCATAAAGAACAAAGTGTTATGCAACAGTAAAGAAGCTTTACTCAATTTCTTGGGTTGCCTTGTATTACTATTCACTCGAGAATTTCTTTACTGCATGTCACCTTATATTGCGGTTAGGAAAGTGATTTCGAGGAATAGAAGAAGCTTCACGAACTACGTCGGCACCAGCATTTGATTGTATTCTACACCGTTTTATTATTGTCACATTTTCATTATTGTTAATGATACTACTGTGACCGAATACACACGTTAAAGCCTGTTTCTTACCATATCTGTTCCCATTCAATTACACTGGAGTTCAAAACACGTACCACACCAGAGCTCATAGACTGATTATAGCCAAGCGCATCTATTGAAATAATCGGGAATTATATTGTGAGTCTACGAAAGATCTGGTCTCACCTCGTTGAGAATATCCATTTGAATTCTCAGCCATTCCTCACAGTTGATTTCGGTTACCCAATTTGGTTCTACAGTAGTTGTTCTGTTCTAGAAAATCATCTAATCCTCATGGATGTCTGACAGCATTGTTCAGGTAATTTTGAGTTTTGATATCATGATGGTTAGGTGATACCGTGGATTTCATCTCAAATAACTGCCTTTTCGCTGTCGTTCGGGTGCTTTGTGGATGCATGTATCTGAACAAAGATCAGCCTAGTTATAAAGTAGGATGCAGAGACTGTTTATTGTATTTCGACCACAACACGTGTACTTCAGTCACTACAAAATTCTTCACACAAAACAAGGGGAAATTGCAGTGTGCCGAGTAGGAGGCAATTTCATTTCATATGAAGGTTGCAGAAAATATCACGTCATTGCATTTATTTGACCTCACGACTTTCAAAAAAAGTGGATGTTCAAATCAGGGTGTATTGAATTGATTGCATCCCAGTTATATATTTAAACGCCTAAATCCAGAGACGTGCATTTAAGTCAGTCGAAATTCCTACAAAATCCTAAAATCTTAAAAGTCGTCTTGGTTGATATGGCGTGAAGCAGTGACCTGTGGGATCCACCCTATAATGATGGAGTGATTACTCATTAAAAGCCATTGATAAGGGTGACAAAGTAAGAATTAATTTCTCGCAAAACTGGCTAAATCATTAACTAGCTTGGTCTCGTAACCTCAAGGTTCCGAGTGTGATCCCTTGTGTCAAAGCTACCTGAGAGTCCGGAACAAGGACGCAACAGTTGTACAGAGATCCTTGGTCCCCCTTGACCTCTTACACATGTGGTCTTTGAGCAAAATTGTTTTCCATTGGACATTAGACCGATCATTGAGCGAGTAGAAGAGACATCGCACCCTCTTACGCATACTGCCACTATAACATCATGCTATGTGGATGGTAGTATGAAAAAGTGACAAACACAAGGAAGGCTTTTATTGTACCTAGTATTGCTGGTCTTTTGTTAATAATAAAGCCTGATGGTTCCAAACACATCATTTTGAATGAGACAATCAAAATTGGTTTTTCACTGAGTATGCCTCTTCTCTTTATCTCTCGTCTAGTGGTGATTTCTGAATGAAGCACTTCGACGAAACACTGTGCAGTTTATCTTTCCTTATATTCAACACACTATGAAAGTGGAGATGTTGTAATACTCAGAAACAACAGGCACACCCAGTGAAGGAAGAAGACGAAGATGCAGAAGAAAATGCTTTTTATTCCACCACGTAAAGTTTAAATTATTCAGGCACAAGCTACATATCGTCATCTATAACATGCTTTGACAATCGGTATTCTTCTCGCTCTAAAACAGCCAGGCCAGCCTTTCTTTCTGAAAAAGAGGAAATAAGAAATTCATTTAGTGGTATCATGCTAGTTTTTATCTCATTACACCGCTCTCTCCCCTCTGGAGGCACTGTCCTCAGTGCCTGGCGGTGGTATAGGGAAGGCACCTCGAGGTGGTGGCGAAGGCTGCGGACATAGGGAATACAGTCGATCTTCTCATACGGTAGCAACGGTGTCCGGATCTCGACTGGAAGACGAAGTCCACGCCCGAACAGAAGCAAAGCCGGAGAAAATCCTGTCGATGAATGTACGGGGGAACGGTAGGCAAGCAAGCACTGGGGTAGGACATCGTCCCAGGTGTCCTTTGGTGTACTGTGCAAAAAGTCACGAAGGAGTTGCCTAATGGTTCTGTTGGTGCGTTTAACCAGCCCATTACCTTGTGGATGATACGGCGTCGTATGGGTCTTTCAAATACCGAAAGCATTGCAGATGTGCGTGATAAGGAGACTCTCAGAAGCGGCGCCTTGATCAGAGTGTAGATAGAGGGGGGCACCGAACCGGGACACCCAGCTGTCGATGAAGGCTCGTCCGATCGTCAAGGCATCTTGTTGCTGCAAGGGAACCGCTTCGCATTATTTGGTGAAATGATCAACCATAACAAGGATATAACGATTACCGCGTCTCGATGCTGGTACTGGCCCAATAATATCAACCCCAACCCGATAATTAGGGGCTTCGGTCAACATTGGTACTAAAGGTGCTCGAGGAATTGGTTTAGGCTGCTTGATCTGCGCACATATAGCGCAATTGCGACAAAACTCCGTAAAATCGTGGTGAATAAGTGGCCACCAGAAACGTTGACGGATGACGTGTTCCGTTTTCTGTTGGACAGCGTGCCCTGGTTGTTGATGTACTTCACTAATAAGCTCAGGTACCTTAACGGTTGGGATGAGGAGTCGAGGGTTGCCATTGGGTACCACTTTATAAAAGACATCATCTATAAGTCATAGTAGGCCCCATTTACCGCGTAGCTGCTGGTAGATCACGTAGTTCTTTGGACGTCGGTTTATAGTTCCCATGCTGTTGTCGTAAGTAAATGGGCTGTATTGCTGTGTCCTCCGCTTGCATGGAGGCCCAGTCGTTGTCAGCTGCAGCACTGAGGAGCACATTTTCACACTCTGGTAGGCGAGATAGAGCGTCGGCATTACCATGTCGTTTTCCGGGTCAGTATTCACAAGTAAAGTCAAACTCCTGTAAACTTTCCTGCTAGTGGGCAAGTTGGCCCTCAGCATCACGGAAATTTTGTAGCCACTGTAACGCTTTGTGGTCAGTCTGGACTCGAAATTTGCGCCCCAACAAGTAATGGCGAAAGTAGGAGAGAAAGTATACGGAGGCCAACATCTCACGGCGCGTCGTAGAATACTGGGTTTCTCTTTTGTCCAGCCTTCGGCTAGCATATGCCATCACCCATATTTTTCCGTCCGGGGTTGTCTGCAAGAGGACCACTCCTATTGCGTGTGCACTGGCATCAGTATCCAGGATGAAGGGGCCGCTGTCGCCCGATGTGTCTGGAAACGTTAGAACAGGGGGAGAGGTTAGAAATCTTTTAGGCGTATCAAAGACTACCTGGTACTCGTTCGTCCAAGCGAATTTCCGTTCTTTTTCTGTCAATCGATGAAGGGGGCTGCTATAGTGGCGAAGTTTTGAACGAAGCTACGGTAGTAAGATGCAAGCCCCATGAAACTATGGAGATCTGTCGTCGATTTAGGAGTAGGTCAGTTGAGAATTGCTTGTACTTTGCTTCTGTCTGTGCTCACTCCTTGTGTATTAATCTCATGACCAAGGAAAGTAACAGATTTCTGCAGGAAGTGGCATTTCATGCTTTCAACCTATGATTGCTTTCGCGTAGACGTTGAAATACGGCTCGAAGGTTGGCATGGTGTTCTTCAAAGGACTGCCCAAACACAATGATGTCATCCAGGTAAATTAGGCATTGTTTAAGGACTAACCCTGCATGTACTGTTTGCATGAGTCGTTGAAACGTATCAGGGGCATTAGACAAGCCAAATGGCATGGTTTCAAATTCGTATAACTCTGTAGGCACAACAAATGCAGTTTTTGGTCGGTCTTCCGGACGAAGTTTGACTTGCCAATAGCTGGAAGCTAGGTCCAATGTGAAAAACCACTGTGCCCTGCCCGAAGCATCTAGAGTAGCGTCTATGCGAGGTAGGTGGAAGGAATCTCGGTGAGTGATTGCGCTTAGACGGCGGTAGTCAACGCAAAGACGGAGGGAGCCATCTTTCTTCTTCACAAGCACGATAGGAGATGCCCATGGTGACGTAGATGGTTTAATCACTTTCTTTCGTAGCATATCTGTTATCATTGTGTCCAACTGTTGCTGGTAATGAATGGGGACCCTTCGAGATGGCATCTTAATGGGTTGGTTATCCCCCGTCTTAACCTCGTGTTGTACAATACTAGTGCGCCCCATCATATATCCGTCGTCAAACATATAACTATACTCTTGTAACAGGGCAAAAGTGTCAGCACGGTCTTTAAGA